CTTGAACTCTGGGCCTGGGCGCTGTCCCTCAGCTCTTCAGCTCAAGTCGAGCGCTCTACCACTTGAGCTACAGCGCCACTTCCGGTTTTCTGGTGATTTATTGGAGATAGGAGTCTCACGGTCTCTCTTGCCCGGGCTGGCTTTGAACCGCGATCCTCAGATCTCAGCCTCCTGAGTAGCTAGGATGACTGGCGTGAGCCACCAGCGCCCGGCCCTGATCGGAACCTTTCTTTGCTGAAAGGCAGCACTCTATCACTTGAGCCAGAGCTCCTCTTCTGGCTTTTTGGTGGCTAATTGGAGAGAGGAATCTCATGGACTTTCCTTCCTAGGCTGGTTTTGAACCATGATCTTCAGATCTCAGCCTCCTGAGTAGCTAGGATTACAGGCGTGAGTGATAGTCCCTCCCTTACAGCCATTTCAGCAAGTCTCTCTGTGTTTGCTCATAAAGTACCACCCTCCCCCTCCTTCACCACAGCCCGGCCCTCCTGCGGCTGCCTTCTGCTGGGACCACTCCTCATCACATAGAGCCTGCTTCACTTCCCTGTGACCCCCCCCCCAGCACATTATCTGCAGCAGCATCACACAAGACAATGCAGTCAGAGCAGCCTGTCAATCACTCTCCTGCCCAGTCTTCCCCAGCCCCTCTTGCCAGCATCTTTTAGTAAGTTTCCTCACTTGCAAGTCAGCCGCCCGTCCCTTCGCCCTCCCACGCGGACACCTCGCACTCCGTGTCACTCGTCCTCCATCATCTTCTTGTCCTCTCCAGCTCTGGGACGGCCACACTTTCACCACAGCAAAGCCAAGCGGGGACGGACGCCCAGGACAGACACCCGCGGGGATAGGAGCGCAGGACAGATGCCCAGGGGGGCAGGCGCCCGGGGGGGACAGACGCCCAGGACAAGCATCCACGGGGACGGGCGCACAGGACAGATGCCCAGGGGGGCAGGCGCCCGGGACAGACAGGCATCCGTGGGGACGGGCGCACAGAACAGACGCCCAGGAGGACAGGCGCCCGGGACAGACGCCCGGGGGGGACAGGCGCCCAGGACAGATGCCCAGGACAGACGCCCAGGGGGACAGGCGCCCAGGAAGACGCCCAGGACAGACGCCCGCGGGGACAGAAGCCCAGGACAGACGCCTGTGGGGACAGGCGCCCGCGGGGACAGGCGCCTGTCGGGACAGGCGCCCGGGACAGACGCCCGCGGGGACCGGCTCCCGCTTACACAGCAGCACAAGGCCTGACCATGTGGTCCGCAACGTCCTGCAGGGCCTCAGCCACGGGGAATGGACACCTGGAACGCACGGCCACTGCCCTCCGGACGACCCACGCGGAAACCGGGCGCCCCCCGAG